ATAAGTGTGTATATATAGGACATAAAGTTCAATAGCATGATTTTTGTGGCGGTGTAGCAAATCCCAATCCCAGTCCCCAAATTGTGTGAAAACCCATGGCTCTAAGAAGGGGGAGGTGACGGTGATTTGGACCTTCCACCCAGGCCCGTGTTGTCCTGTGTTCTCGAGATCCCCCAGAGGAGGCTACAGCTCATTCATTCATTTATTCTTTCCCTAATCATCAAATTTCTATGTGCTCTTTCAGGTTCAAAGACAAAAGACAAACTGCTTCTACCCTCAGGGTGTTCAGGGAGGTTGGACAGATCATGGTGGTCTAAGGAGGCGTGTGAAGGATCTGGGAGGAGGGAGAGGATGGAGAAGCTTCACAGAGGAGAGGACGTTTGACCCGAGTCTTGGTGGCGAGTTACAGGCAGCCAGGGGACAGGCGTTAAAAGAAGAAAGGCAACTGGAGATCTGTTGTGGTGCAAGAGACTACAGAGGACCTGGAAATGTGGTGCAGACTCAGGGCTTTGAATGCCATACTAAGGAACTTGAACTTTATCTTGTAGACAGTGGGTAACGCTATAAACTAACCTGCAACACTAGTGCTACAGATGGAAGGTAAGACCAGCGCAGTAAGACCCTTTAGAAGGATGCTTTAACAATTAAAGTAAGCAATACAGACTCAAACTAGGGCAGAAGCAAGAGCATGGTAGAGGCAGAACCTTCAAGACTTTCTTAGAGATTCTGAGGTGAGAAAGAAATCTGGAGTCTCGGAGAATGTCACAGCTATCGTGGATGTTGGGCCAAATGGGTCCACTAAGGACGACCAGAGGGATGAGAAGGATTGGGTCAGGGCGATAGCAATTAGGTCCTTTGAAGATGCCTCTTTGGCAACAGACAAGCTGCCCAACTAGCACTCTGGAATAGAGATCTAGAGCCCCGGGCGGGGAATTAGATCTGGAGATGTAGATGCGACCTGATGTGACCTTCATTTATAGGAAGGTCCAAGTTGATGGCAAGCTTGCTTTGTCTGTTAGATAATGGAAGAAGTAAAAAGCAAACCTTCTAACACCTATTAAGTACTGAATATAACCCCGGCACTCTCGTGAGCACTTTGGCTTTATTACTCTCCCCACTCCCCATCAGAAATGGACACTTCAGAGGATGGCGGGCTAGCCCAGTCACACCGTTAGTGAGTGGCTGATCCATGAGCAAGGTGCAGGCCTACTGGCCTCCAGATTCTGTGTTCTAATCAAACCATGTCCCAGCAGAGCTCCCAAGGAGCTTCAGTTGAATTAAAACCCATTTTGTATAGGTTTCTAAGTGGATCGCTGTTGATGTTTGAGCCGCATCATCCGTAGGCATGATCCTGGAGGCCGTCGGTGGGTGCATCTTGTCCTGCCCACTGACGTTACCCTGGGACGTCGCACAAGTCTGCATTCTACCGGAATAGTCTTGCTTGATCTTTAACAGCCACCCTAAGAAGCCATGTCATGACCATCTCCTCCTTACATCCCCTGTGTGCCTGTTATGGGCTGGGCCCTGGCCTGGAGCCTCCCATCGTGAGTTCGAGTGCAGCCTATTGTTCTGCTGGCAATATGTGAGGCTTGTCATTGAGGGTTTCAGTTCCAGACTGGGGGAAAGGGAGTGCTCGAGGCTCCTGTCTTTATGTGGGGAGTTTGTGCTGTACGGCCCACCCTTTGTGCAAGGTCTGTGGAGGTGCGTGGGCTCTCCCACTCTGGCTTTGCAAACCCCTGGAGGGGGCGGGGGGGATGGCTAAGGGGATTCTGCAGCAGCTCGCTCACTTTCAGAAAGTTATGTTGTCGACTCTTTTATGGGGAACAAGATTTGTTGGTAATAATCTCAAGCCATGCATTTTTCTTCAGGATTTCTCTTTGGGTTACCATTTTGACTTCATATTACCTCAATAATCATATTGAATCAGAGTTATGAAGATTCCCCAAAGATTATCTTATGTGTCTCTTGAGAAAAATCCATATGCTATTAGTATCTAGTTTTATTTTTTTATTGTTTTATTTAAATTCAATTAGCCAACTTACAGTACATAATTAGTTTCAGATGGAGTGTTTAGTAATTTATCATCGTGTGTAACACCAGTGCGCATCATATCTGTTTTTTTAAAGATTTTATTTATTTATTGCGTGAAAGAGACAGAGCACACACGCAGGGGGAGAGGCAGAGGGAGAGGGAGAAGCAGACTTCCTGCTGAGCCAGCCAGGAGCCTGACAAGGGGCTCGATCCCAGGACCTGGAGACCATGACCTGAGCCGAAGGCAGACGCTTAACAACTGAGCCACCCAGGCGCCCCGCTCATCACGTCTAGTTTTAAAAGTCAAAGTTAATATCAGACTTCCAAGATCCCTTGCCTCCCATAGGTCCCGAAGCTTTTTCCATCGGAGGCATTAGTGACAAGAAAGTTCAGTTGCGAGCTGGTGGCAGGACCAGGAAACGGGATGCTCAGGGCTGCTTGAAGCAATCACAGTGGGGACTCCTAGCTCCTGGATCTGATGCCTTTGTTAACCCCCCGTCTGCTTTCATTTCTGCTTAGTCACAGCAGCTGGAGGCACTGCAGGACTTAAATTAATGCCTCCGTCAAAGCAGGCAGGCCTGGGACCATCTGTCCACCTCCAGGCGTGGTCTCCACGCGCCTGTGCACACTGGGAAGGTACTGCGCCCATTTAGCACCTGAACTGGAGAATCACTTCTGCGGGCAAAGCAGAGTGACCGGGTACAAGTCATTTGATTCTTTGACCCACAGTCTTTTGATCTATGAAATAGAAATTGGAGTTCCTACCACTTATTATTTGATCTAATTAGAAAGAATTTTGGGGGCATGATAAGTGATAAAAACAAGGAACAAAGAACCGTCCAGGGCATTTTTCAGCTTGCGAGTGTGTCTGTGTGTGTTTCCAGGACACACATTCATATATTAAGTGCACGTAAAACATCTATGCACATACGCATATGGACGTATTCTAGAAGGATCCACCAGAAATTACTGGACTCTGGGGAATGAGGTACTTTGTGTTGTGTTTCCTTTGGTAATATTGAGATTTTTACCATATGCATATTCTCATTTTGAAAGTCAAAATGAGAGCATCTGTTCTGTATGCTGTTTGTTGAACACCAAATGAGATCAAGGTAATGGGCATACGTGGATGCTTCGTGAACAGTGGATTCCTTCTTGCTCCATGGGTCGGGGGGGGGGTCCTACACACACACACCCTGCTATGCACAAGCTCCACTCGTCTTTCTACAACTGTACGAACTTCTGTTCCTAACATATTAGGAAGGATGATAAATGGGAGTGTATGGATTACCTTGAGTGCCTAGCTGACTGAATTTTCTGCTTATGAAATGGAAAAGTCTTTTGATTCCACACCTCACTGAATGTCTCTCATAAGCCTGAATCAAAAGGGAGCTGGTGGCCTCGGAATGCAGGTTTCAGTGGAGGCCCCGGGGAGCGGAGGGTCCACTGAGGGCCTCTCCAGTGGATGCGGTGGTGCACTGCCCAGATCCCCTCCTCAGGCCGGAGTCGTTCATTCCCTCACACTGCCGAGGATGTCGGTAGCCAACAGCAGTTGGCCAAGCCTCTTTCTGGAGGTTGCTGCTGACCAAGGGCCCACCTGTTCCTGGGGTAACCCACACTCAGTAATGGTCAATGCCCGGGTGCAGAGACCTGGCCCCTCCTCCAAGGCCACCGGGCCCTGTAGCTCCAGAGCTCCCCGTGGGATGGACCGAGGTCTCTGCTGTGCTACATGACAGTGCAGTCTAGCTCTTCCCTCTGCCCCAATCCACTCTCCCACAGAGTTGCTCCCGACCCCACACCCAGGATCTCCTGCAGACACAGCTCTGTCTCAGAGTCTTCTTCCTAGGGACCTGACTTACGGCCATCTCAGAGCTAGGTGACACCTGCATCCCGCTTTCCCGACGTGTAGCACCTTGCGTGACCCACTCATCATGACGCCATGATTAGCACGAGTACAACACACCCATGATCATCCCTCGTGGCACCACTGGGACTGCAGATGGCATGCGGATGGCCATTGACCCCCATCAGACCTGTCCTGCCCCCGTGGACCAATTCAGTTCTCTCGGATGGCAGCAAGGAAGGAGACCAAATGAGGCAGGAGGCTGCTGCATCACCAGCTCACGAGAACCCAGAGCGGGGATTTCTACCAGCTCCCCATGTGGAGTTGCCTACGGCAGGACAGGGAGAGCAGTGCGGGATCATGAAGAGCCATTGGCTTCCTCCCTTCACAGCTGCGTGAGCATAGATGGACAGGCAGGTCCCACATCCATGGGATCCTCCAGCCCATGGCACCCCCCTCCTCTGCGGCCCTCCCTGGGGGCTTCTTTTCTCTGCCCTCAAAACCAATCCCTCCTGAAATTTACCCCAAGACATCATATCTTCTCTTCCACTGTGTCTGGGTCTCCAGGTACACGGTGGACTTGGCCACCTTTTCCTCATCGCACAAACCCCATTTGGGCCCGACATCTGCAAGCAGATGACAATGTGCAGAGCACCCAAATGCACTGCTGGCACTGAGTATCTAAGCTCACATTTTACAGCAGTGTGTCTTCCTTCCTCTCGGCATTAGGTACTGCTCACCCACCTCCCACGAGGGTCTCTACGAATTCCTCCCCTCCCCGCGAAAGGAGACCTTCCTGCCCATTCCCCATCTTCTGTGATGCGCCGTGCAGGGCCAGGGAGCGAGGGCTTGCGAGTGGGCCCCCTGAGGTTGTCCCAGACCTTCCAGGTCGGTGCCATCCTCCTCCTCCTTACGGTTATTATCACTCTTACTATTGCTATTTTTTTTATTATTTTAACGTGAACACGTACGACAGAGCCTCGACAGGTTGCGGTGTTTGTCCCGGACGGAGAGGCGGGGGAGGGACTCAAACTCCCTCTTCTCCGGGATTGCGGACCCCTGCACAGCTGTTCTCGGACATGCCCCGTGGGGTGGCCCTCAGCGTCTGTGTCTGTCCCGCCCGCAGGGGAGCTTCTACGTGCCGTCCGAGAACTGCATGCAGCGCGCACACAGGTGGCATCGGGAACTGTGCTTCCTGCTGCTACATGCCTACCGGGGACTCCGCGCCCACTTCCTGGTCATCATGAGGGACATCCCAGAGCTGCCGCACACAGAGCTGGGTAAGGCGCTGGGCCCAGGGGACGCCTCAGGCCGGTGGCCCACCTGCCCCGTGCGGGGCCAGGCTTGAGAAAGCCTGCGGTCTTGTCAGCGTCCCGGTGACAGGTGCCATTCCAGGTCTGTTTTCTCTGTGTTACCTCCCGGCGTGTGTATGCAGGAGGGAAGGGCAGGAGCACCCGAGGTGCACGCACTCGTGCGTTCAGGCACCCAGCAGGCCTTTACTGAACACCTGCTGCATGTCTGTCACTGTTGTGCACAATGTCAAGCTGCTTGCGAAGGGAGAGTAGTTACAGGATTGCAACTGACAAGAGTGGAAAACAACCCCCAAAAGAACATATGTGTATTCTATATGTACTATACATATATACACAAATATATGCTTGTATATATCTTTCATATATATTATGTATTTGTGTGTATATATGCACATATATATGTGTGTGTGTATATATATACATATATATATATATATATATATGCATCTGCATGATTATAGAAACCTCTCAGCAGCCATCATCTTTGGTTTTCTGGGGATAAATAGCTTCATGCACATCATCAGACATCATGGAGATCATTGGGCCTGAATCCCCCTTTGCTGACAGGTGTCGGAACCGAAGCTCAGAGAGGGGCAGTGACCGCTCAGGGTTGCACAGCAATACAGGGCGGAACCAAAACAAGAGCACAGAGGTCCTACACTGACTCTTGGGGCAGCATCCTTTATATCATCCCACTCATTTACAGCAGGTGACACAGTGTGATTCTGCTAACAGTCCTCTACTGGGGCCCCTTTGCTTCCAGAACTGAAGCCAGGTCCTTAGCCTGGTTCGGGGTTAAGCACAATCCTGCTGGGGTGCCTCAGCTTTCCCACCCACACCCCCAGACCTCACCTACTGAGACAGTCATGGCTTTGGCAGGATTTAGGGCTTCATACAGTGCCCATTCCTGCACTGAAAACACCACATGACAATGATTTATTTGCATGTTTCTCTTCCCCACTAGTTGCAGGGTCTTTGAGAGCAGAGGCCCCCCTCAGATCCCTTGTGCACAGTCCCTGGCAGGTAGGGTGAAGGAATACGTGCATCGCTGTTGATGAATTGTCCTGCCATCTTCCCTTCTGGCCTTATCAGCTCTAACACCCTGGACAAGTCAGGCGCTATTCTTTGAATCATGCAATCATGAGGTTGCATTTTTTTTTTTTTCAGGTTCAAATGTTATGCACACAAAAAGACGCACACAGAATCAGAGCCCGTTTACATTGCTCACAGGGAAAATGGAGATTGTGCAGTGTTCGTTGACTTCTGGCTTTAACTTCTTTTTACCCAAAGACACTGAATGTATTTGCTCATTCATTTATGAACATACTTTTATTGAGCATCTATTATGTGCCAGACGCCAGGGACAGAGCCATGACAAAAGTCCACTGTGCCTGGTGGGACTCAAAGAGCTGACAGAGGTGCTGGGGGGACACGCATGTGTCATCAGGCCATCAGTGAGGATCCGGAGGCACTGAGGGACTGCCCCCACTCACCTGGGCAGCAACATTTTAAGTAGAACTCATGCCAAAGCCAAGTGCAGATCACTGACTGCAGCATCATGGAACTGGGCGAGAGAGTTCAAAGACAGGCAGAGCTTCGAACATGGCATCCCAAATGGCCAGAGGCCAGAGGTTCCTGCTGATAAGGGCTGATATCACAGCTCCTCCGTGGGTTGTGATGATCGTGGGTGTCAGAGTTGGTGGAGCTGGGCTCAGCTCTGTCACTTCACTTCTCTGTGCTTCCCCACATTCACCTGTATGATGGAGATCTGAATCCATGCCCCACGTGTGTCACGCACACATGTGTATGTGCAGGTGTGTGTGCACACCCACGTGCACATACCTGCAAAAGCCCAAAAGAATGTGGGACCCCTTTGAATCACACAAAGTGCTGTGTGAACGTGGGGGCCTTCTGTTCCTCAGAGAAGCATCCAGGAGATGATGTTGACCTTTATCTAGTGTGGGGTCACATGGCTCCAGATCAGTCTTATCCTTTTTTTAAATATGACCCCTTTAGGAAGTTGGAGTAGAAAGGAGGTGAGTCCTCGGGAGTTGTGTTTCTTTCTGTGACTTTAATGCCAACTTGAACGTATGCTGCTTTATTGTACTTAGCAACCACCGCATTTCAGTGTGTGTCCATTTTATTGTGCATCTTTTGTTTCTTCCTAGAGTCCCTTGCTGTTGAGGAAACGCTCTCTCAGCTGTGCTCAGAGCTACAGGTAATTAAAAAACTCGCCCTGTGGGATAAAAGGGCAGTTGAGATACAGGACCAACATAGGTCCCCGCTTGATGTAGAAATCAGAGATGAAAGCACAGGGCTTATAAACGCACGTTAGACCTGAAACTGAAGAGATACTCTGCCATTCTTTGTTATTAAGTGTCCACTAGACCTCTCTTGTATGTCTAGCTCTCTGCTAGATGTTTTGGAAAAAATAAACAGGTTCACAGGTCTCTGTCCCTGGAGCTGAGGCTACATTTGTCTATTACTCATCCATTTAACAAAATGTATTGACTACCAACCATGTGCTTCTCCTGGAGGGCGATGCCTGTGGCCAGACAGCCTCAGCCATGGCAGGAGGCTAACAGCGGGATGACGCTGATGATGGAAACAGTAGTGTGCATCTGCCAGAAATTCACCGAGCATCTTCTAAGAATACGTGCTTAAATAGGCGCTTGGCAAATGCACACTGCTGTTACTTGCAGTCTCTGGAACACTTTCCCATCCCATTGCGTGGATGGTCTGGGTGGGTACTGCACGTCGTCCTTACATAGCGAGAGGCAAATGAAGACGGAAACCAGTATGGCAGTCAGGCTTGATGACGGTGCTTATCAGGGCTGGCAGCTGGACTCAGAAAACTGTCTCATCGTCATCTCTCACACCAGTGTTTTCAACCCTTGCTGCACAGTGGAAATACATTTGGGACTTCTAAGATGTACGTTTGCCTGGGTCCCATCTAAACCGGGTGAGACAGAATATCAGGGAGCAGAGCTTGGGCATTTGTATTTAGTAAAATCTTCCCAGCTGGATCGGAACCACCGTGAGATACCAGCTCACACCTATGAGAGTGTGAGAAGACCAGAGATGTCACGTGCTGGCAAGGACGTGGGGGAAAGGGAGTTCTCGAGCACCGTTGGTGGGAATGGGAACCGGAGCAGCCACTCTGGAAGACAGTACGGAGGCTCTTCAGACACTTAGAAATACAACCACCCAATGATCCAGCAATTTCACTGCTGAGTATAGATCTAAGGAAATGAGATCACTATCTTGCAGAGACGTCTGCATCCCTGTGTTCACTGCGGGGTTATTCACAATAGCCAAGGCATGGAAACAACCTGGGTGTCCACCTACAGCTGAATGGATAAAGAAAATGTGGTGTATCTATACGGTGGAACACTACTCAGCCATAAGAAGAAGGAAATCCTGCCATTTGCAACAATGTGGATGAATCTTGAAGGCATCCTGCTACTTCTAATAGAGTCAGACAAAGACAAGTAACATATAATCTCACTTACATGTGAAATGTAAAACAAAACAAAAACCTAACTCATAGGAACAGAGGATGGGGAAATGGGTGGAGGTGGTCAAAAGGTACGAACTTCCAGTTATAAGATGAATAAATTCTGGGAATAGAACACGCAGTGTGGGGACTAAAGTTAACAATACTGTGTTCTGTAATTAGAAGTGACTAAGAGTATAGATCTTAAAAGTGCTCATCGAAAGGAAAACATTTTAAGTATGGAAAGTGATGGGTATGTTAACGAACCTTATTGTGGTGATCATTTCACAATAGATGCATTTATCAGATCATTATGTTGAGCCCCTTAAATGTACATAATGTTATATGTCAGTAATGTTATATCTCAGTAAAACTGGAAGAAAAATCATAGAAAGAAGAAGCTCCCTGGATGAGTATACTGTGCAGCCAGGGTCGAGAATCCCTGCTTTAGAGCACGTTATAAAGTCAGTGAAACTCAGTGTTACCGCGGACAGATGGCAGCCCGGTGGGAAGGCAAAGCACAGAGCAGGTGCCTGGCGCTGGGGTGGGGGAGGGTCTAGGACAGAGAGGCCCTTTGAAGTGAGCCCTGAAGAAAGGGTGGGATCATCAAGGAGTCACGTCACAGGCACTGCTCCTGATAAACTCGGGGACATGTGAAGGACACGAGAAGCCCATTTAGAGAGTGTGGAAGGCAAACCTAAGGCTGGCCAAGGACTTGGATGCCAGTGTGTGGAGCATCCACTCCCTAAACCCGGAGGCGGAGGCGGAGGATGCAGTGCACCAGGGGGCTGGCTAAGCTGACCACAGGGCCGAAGACTCGGGGGGCCGCAGCTCCCCCTTCCACCCCAGAGGGCACCCAGGGCAGCATTGCCTTGGAAAAGCCCACAGGCTTTGCAGGTTCAAGTCCAGGCTCCAGCCCTTCTGCACATCAGCTGCGTGATCCTGGATGTGCGATTTAGGATCTTAATGGGCCTCAGATTTCTCATCTGTGTCGTGGCTATTGTGGGGAGACCAGGAGAGAGCTCACGAGAGGAACCTGTGAACGCCTGGCTCACGGGTCTGCGGTGCAGAGCTGGCCTTGCCCTCCAGGGCTGGCCCTCCTCAGGCCCCATCCCTCCCAACCTGGATGCTGCTCAGCATCCCCAGGAGACACTTGCAATCTGTAAGTCATCGAAAATTGAGTTGTAGCAGTTTAAAAAAACGCCAACTCTTAATAGCTGTTATATACCACACCCACCATCTTTCCTGTCGCTACCAACATGATGAGCAGCAAGAGATGGGGTGCCCTGTGGGTTCTCTGCTGGTTGCCGTGCCTCTTTCACTCAGGTTCCAGAAGCTTCTCTTCTGAAGCCCAGGAAGACAGGCTAGCCCGCAGTGCTTTCGCCGGAGCATCCGCACCTCCACGAGCAAGGACTGCCCGCATTGACCGGTGTGCTCGGGGCCAGGAGCAGGTTAAATGCTTGTCCTGAAGACTCTCCTCTGGCCTCCCAGTAACCACTGAGACTGCCTTTCTGCAAGTGCCTGGCCGGGGCACCCAGTGAGTGGTGCAGGGAGCCGGGGCTCACACTCCCAGACTGCACAGCGCCCAGCCCACTGCCTCAGTTTCCTGCTGTGCTCGCTCCTCTGGACAGGCCAGGGGCTGCTCCCTGTTTCTTCTTAGACCTCACTGGGTAGTGGGTGGGTTGGGGGACTGTGGAAGTGATGGGGTGTCATGACATGTTGCAAAAGTGGTCACATCAGAGCCAGTGGCTTTGAATTCCTTACCTACTTACCGTGCGACTTTAGAAAAGTTGCTTAGACTTTATGGACCTTGATGTTCATACCTATAAAGTGGAGATAAAATGGCTCGGTTTTTATTAACCTCTTTTTCTCTGAGTCAGTAAGCTCGTACCCTGGCTAGCTGCTGGTTGCTATTTTTATGTGCATTCCTCATGTAATGTATACAGCTGTTCTATGGAGGGAGGGATCCTGTTGTTCTCAGGGGATGGAGAATCAGAACTCCGCTCATAAAGGGTGGGTTGTTTGCCCAGAGTAACAGCACTGGCCGAACAGGGTTATTGCTGGTCACTGCGACGCCGGAGCCCACCCTCCCCACCAGGATGCCATCCGGGGAAGCAGAATCCTCCTTTGCAGAGAACACAGGTAGAGTCTGTGAAGTCGGCATGCGGCCCGGCAGGGCGGTGAATGGAGAAAATGCTAACTGTCTTGCTTGGTACAATTATCACTGCCCTCTGGCTTGTCACTTCCCTGGCCGTAAAGAGTTTCCGGTGTCACACGTGCCCCTCGGGGAATAAGGTTAAAAGGCCCCCATGTTGCTCTTGTCTTCATGACCACAAAGGGTCAGTGTTTCTGTGGGAACTACTCTAGAGAGTTGATTCATTTCAGCAAACGTTTTGTGAGTCCCCACGCTTCGCCAGGCCCTGTGTTAGGCCCCGGGGGACTCAGCAGAGACCCCCTTCCCTTGGGGGCACACAGCCGAGGGGGTGACTCGTTCACTCTCGAAGCTCCAGTGCCTAGAAGGGTTCATTGCAGGAATGAATGAATGCACTAATGCATCACAAGAATGCTACATGCTACCAAAGGTGAGGAAGCCAGTGACCCCGGAGCAGCTGTCCTCACCCCAGGGCCGTTGGCTCATCTGCGGAAGGAGGCGGGAGTCGACGTGCTCATTCACTGATCGACCAAGCCCTAGGTGTTGCTGTGCTGTTGTGCGCCACGGAGGACCAGTGGCCAGAGTCCGCTGCTGCGTGGGCTGCACAGCGCTGTCCTGAGGGTGCGGGCCGGCTGTCCACTTTGGGCAGGCCGCGTCCCCTCTGGGTGGCTGGTTTCCCACGTGTGGAGGGCCGCTCTGGGGGTGAAATGAGCTCACACATGCACACGATGCCTCTATCCCTTGTTGACCCTGTCCCGGTGTGCCTTGCAGGCTGCAGATGTGCACACAGACACGCGTGTGGCCGTGGGGCCCCGGGGGGATGTGTCACTAACTCTCTGTGGGGAGGCAGATGCTAGCGGGCCCCAGAGGGGAGGCTGTGTGGGAGAAAGCCTCATGGCCTCCGGTAAGAGGACAGGGCAGGCAATGGAGGCCAGGCTGAGGGAGCACCCGGGGCCAGGCAGTGAGTGTGCATCCGTGAGCGGAGCTCTCAGAAGGGGAGGCGGGGGTCACTGAGGCTCTGAGGGGGAGCCTGAATGCCCTGCACAGTGTACTAGAGCTTGGGCTAAGCCCCAGGTGACAGGGAGCCGGGCAGGCGAGTGATGAGCTTGCTGGGGGCTGTGTGGAGGACGAGGGTGTGTCTTGAGGCAGTAAAGGGTGGCTAATGCCATTTACAGCGGAAGCAGTGACAACGTCCGCTTCCACCTGCTGGATTCTGTCTCCCACCTTCAGGCACCGGGCACTGCCTCCCGGCAGCCCTGAGAATACAGGGGGACACACAGATGTGTCCCCAGTCATTTTGCTACAGTGGACTCTGAAGGGTGGTTTCCTCTGACCACTAAGGGGTGGGCTTGGGGCCCACTGCTATTGTGATGATCTGGTCCCTGCAGTGGTTCAGGTGAGAACTCGGGCTGCCAATGAGTCTATCTGATACCTCTCATGAAAAGCCAAGGAACGGGTTGCCTTCTTCCTCTGGCGCCAGGCCCCCGAGTTGCAGGGATGCGCCCCTGGTTTTGAGTGATTGTATTGCTGCAGGCTTGATTTTGTACAGAGCCATCAAATTAGCATACTGATGCAGGGGTACTAGTGGGTGATGGGGAGGGAACCAGGGAGTGGGGGTGGGCTTCAGCCCACTCTATTGTTTGCTAGAGAGCTGCCCTAATGCTCACAGTGACAGAAACAGAGCCCCCTCCCCAACACCCCCCAAAGGGCACTCAAAGCCCACCAAACATTTAGAGGCAGGACATTGCCACCTGGTGGCCAGCCGCACCAGGTAGGGAACCGTCCATCAAAGGGGATGGATGGGGTTAGGCATGGAAAGGTTTCTGGGATTTAAAAGAACTTGAAGACTTAGAGTTCTGTAGTCATGGAGCAATTTGCATGTATCTTTATTCCAAGTGAATCCTATAAACACTTATTCAACACCTATTGTATGCTGGCCACTTTGCTCTCTGTTGGGAATACAATGGAGACCATTCCCAGGACTAGCAGCCTCAGGAGGAAGAGGCTTGTTCAGAAGCTGCCAATAGGGTCAGGGCTCCACCAAGGGGTGTAAGACGAGAGGCACCCGGCTCTCCGGGAGGCTAGCCCTGAAGGGGTCTGAGTGTGCCAGGTGACAGGGAAGGAACATCCGCAAAATTCCAGAGTACGGATCCACTGAGCTGAGCGGATGGGCCAAGTGCATGGAGGGCCAAGTGCATGGAGCACAGGAAGCCTGTGGTGGGGGCTGGGCTGGAAATGTGAGTGGGGGCACAGGATAAGGTCCCTGCTGTGCAGACTGATTGCAGTGTGCTCTCTACCCGAATGGGAAGGTTCCAGTGGAACTCAGCCTTGTGCTTTGCTAATAGACAGGCTCAACACATGCTGATTGTCTACCTGCAAGCAATTGCCAGTTTTCTTTAAAGAATTCAGCAAGACTGGGCTTGTTGTCATAGAAAAGATTCTGTCTGGGTTGCTCCCATACACTTACAGGAGATCCTAAATTGCTGAATGGTCTTTCCTCGAGCTGTACCCTCCTAGCAGGAAATACTAAAAATTAGTTATCGGGCATAAATGAACAGCTACCAGTTGGGGAGGCTGGGGTTTTGCTTGTTTTGTTTACTTAATTGTGTGAATTTTTTTTTTTTTTTTTTTGCCAATTGCCTTCTCTGAGGGTTTTTAAAATTATTTTGCCTAAGACTGAAAACATCTTTATGATGTGGTTCAGAACAATGATCCCACTGACAAGGATGTTACATGACTTCTCATTGAATCCTTGCTTTGGTGTGTATGTTTGGGCATGTAGGTCTTTTTAGCCGAGCTCCCTAGCAGAGGAAACTAAAAGTGTAGTGCGTGCTTGTCCCCTGTGATCACAGTGACTTCTTTCCTGGCCAGCCACAGTCCCCTGTGGACAGAACTCTGAAGGGACCTCACAGCTCTGGTCATTTAGAGTAGCCAGGGAGTGCCAGAGCTCAGCTAGAGGCAACGTGTTTGGGTAACATCCATATCTCTGTCCAATTTTAGAATCTCTCAGACTTGAATATGCATACGAAATACCTGGAAAACTTGTTAAAATGCAGATTCCAATTTGATCTGGGCTAGGGCAGGAGATTCTGCATTTCAAACACTTTCCCGGGAGATGTCCATGCAGCTGGGACGCCCCGATCTGCCATGCCATGAGGCTGAGCACAGAGTCTGACTCTCCTCAGCCTAGCTTCCCTTCCCCAGTGTGCCCCCTCAAACTGCAGAGCCCCCCAAGCATCCCCACTGAGGAATCAGGTTTGGCCCCCTCCCCTTGAATGTGGAGGTCCACGGACCCAGAGGGACCTGGCTCGTTACAGAGGGTTATCTGCTGTGACTGCAAGGCTCTGGGTATTAGGGAACATGGTTAGTTCAGGGAATGTATAGAGGTTTTTATTTACCTTGAGATCACAGCACAGGTTATCACCTCCTCCAGGAAGCCTCCGTGATTTTTTGATAGCACTCAGTATATATCTCTTTCATAGCACATTGTAGGTGTATTATAAGTCTCTAAATAAATGGCTGTCACTGAGCCATTTGCCTCTTCCAGGACTGGCTGTATTTATCTGTGGCTCCCCAGAGCTCAGCATACCCCTTCGCATATAACAGTCACTGGATAAACAGAGTGGGGGGCAACAGGAGTGAACAAAGGAGTGTGGTTAGAGCGCAGACGAGAAGCGTGACGGGTGGCCGAGGTGAGTGGCTGAGCATTCTTCAGGCAGCTTCACTTGAAAGAGCATCGGGCCCAGTTGTGCCCTCGCTCGCGTGAAGGGCCTCTTCTTGGTCCTGCGTGAGAAGCCCCTCCATGCCCATCTGTAATTACACAGGCCCAGGCGAAGAGTCCTCTTGTGGCCTAATTAGAAGCTTCCTTAACCTTATCTGAAGCCATTTCTGTAATCAACGAGGGGGAAAAAAATCATTCTCCCAAAGACACATTCAACGAGTGGCTTTGCTTTCTCTGGTTTTCACTCCAGCAGCTGAGCTCAGAATTCAGGCTGTGTTTGCTGGTTCCACTGCGGTGGTGGTGGGAGAGCTGTGGGAGCTGGAGTAAGCAGCCCAGTAAGAGAAGTCCAGTTACTGAGGCCCGGAGCGCCTCTCATTGATGCAATCACCAGAATTTTCAATAAAGAGTTACCGAATCCCCACAACTCGTCCACCACCACGTGGTTACTAAGAATACGGAGAAGCCTAACACTCAGAATGTAGGCAGAGGAGGGTTGTAGGAACAGTGTCTGGCCAGTGGTGCATTGAGAGTGGTGTGTGCAAGGTCGTGTCGACTTCAAGGACAGGAGGTTAGACCTACCCTTGAAGCAGAGTAGACGTTTCTAAAGAATCATCAGAAACAAGGGGGACTGTGTTGGCTCCTTAAACTGTCCCCCGGGGGAGAGCAGACATGCCCAAAGTGGTGAAAAGAGGGAGAAGAGAGGCTGGAAGGTGGAAGGAGAAGGCCTTCCAAGGAGGATGTACAGTCTGGTCAGAGCCTGGTATGTGGAAGGAGCTGGGTGCGTTCAGGCCACGGTGAGCAGGTGGCGTGGCTGGAGTAGGGTGTGCCCTGGGCCAGAAGGGAAGGTAGCCAGAGATAAGGCGGGCCATGGCATCGGGGAGAAAATGGTGCCAAGCGCTGATGCCGGTGTTTGGTGCTCATTAGCGAGGGTAACTGGTAAGAGGAGCCACTTCTGGTCCACCCAAAAACCTCACGTTCCAGCCTGGAGGTTTTCCAGGGTCTGACCATGTCCCCCACTCTCCCCAACGCATTGCTCAGTTTTCTGCCTCTGAACACCTCTGGCCACAGATTGTAGGGCTGAACCAAGAGCAGACAGTCCCAGTTTGACCCCTGCCCTCCAACTGAGCCGATGCAGGAAGTAAGCTTCCATCAGAAGAAAGTAGGGCCGTTCTTGCACTTTGGAGCTTTGGAGCTGGCAAAATTATTTTGCCTAAGACTGACCTTTGATTGTTCATCAAAGACTGACCTCTCCTCTTGGAAGAGGCAGCTTGGAAATGCCCCACTTGGTTGATGCCCTATATCTGGCAGCCAGTCCTTAATTATAAAATACCAATACCAAAGAACAAAGAAACTTACTGGGTGCCACGTTCGTCCTTCCCTCTTTTTCTTCCTCTTAGATCGATGCCTCGCTCCAGCCCACCTGCCTTCCTCTAGCATCAGCCTTTAGTCCAAGAATAGCAAGAGGAACTTCTACTGTTGTAAACAAGGCTTTCAACTTACTTTTCCTGTTGTTATTACATCCAATAGGTCTCCATTTGCTTTGCATACCCATTTTACGGTTGAAGAAACTGAGGCACAGAGCAGAGATAGGCTTGAAACGGCTATGGTTGTCTGTCCCTGATGTGTCTTCCGTGACAGAGCGATCCCCACTACTCCCAGTTGTTAACTCACTTTCCTATTGCCTCTGCCCAGTGAGGCTCCCTGCCAGCAGAGACCTTCCCTTATTCAACTTTGTGTCCCCGTTTATTCAAAACATGTGCCTGGGACATGGAAGATGCACATTAAGGGCTTGTTGAATAAATGGTGGGGTGTACCACTCAGTGTCAGGCTTTGACACCTGGCTCCCTGCCTCCCCTCTGAGACTTGATCTCCCCTCCAGAATCAAAGTCTGCCCCATCCCCCAGCGGATGGCCTCCCTGTTCTAAACTAAAGCTATCCAAAGGTTCCTCCAAAGGCTCTAGGCCCTCTCTAGGCTGGCATCTTCAAATTGTAGTTAAGGCAACCCAAGGTCCTCCCTGAAGCTATTTGGAGTGATTGTGGGAAGATGGTGGTAGGGCTATTGAGCAGCCCCCCCACCCCTGGGCAAATCACCTAACCAGTTAGGTACTCTGAGGTTATAAAGATGTTAGCATCTCTCAGGAAGTGTTTTCAACACCTGTTATGGAAAGGCGGCGTGGTGCTGTGGGTCTGTGGTTAGTCAGCTGTGCCCCTGAATCCTAGCTCTGTGTGGCCTTGGCTGGGCTACTGAATTCCTCTGATTCTCATTTTATTTTCCCTGTGAAATGATACGCAATAACTCTACTAAAGGGTAATGGTGGGCATGAAAAGGGCAGCACACACAAAATGTCTAGTGTTCCACCTGCCAAATAGTAGCCCTGAAGAAGTAGATACTGTAATGATGAGGAGGACTGAGCTCAGAATGTAATGTAATACAGAGTCCAGAGGAAGGAGAGATTCCCTAACAGCAGGGAAGTCAGCAAAGGCTTTAGGAGGAAGCCTGCAGTAGCTTCCCAGGGCAGAGGTCCTTTACTACCACCATTTTGCCTCTCCAGATGTTGAACAATCCCGAGAAGATAGCCGAGCAGATAAGTAAGGATCTCGCCTGGCTCACCTCCCACGTGATGGCTCTGTGGACCCAGTTCCTAGACACAGTGACTCTACACTCCCAGGTGACCTCTTATCTCACCCAGGAACATCACACCTTGAGGGTAAGGTGTCAAGTGGTATAAATTCCCTAATCACGTGCCAGTGTTCCCCTGAGGGAGCTTTCCCACAGTTAGTTCACTGGGCAGAACAGGAATTGGGGTTTTCTCCCGTAGCTGCGTGTGCCGGTCCTGGCCCCACCTTGAGCTCTCGGTGAGACTTTATGAACTGGTTCAGCCTCTGAAACCTTGACCTCCGCCGTTCATAAAATATCTGTCTTGGCTACTAGATGATAGCATGAGGGATGTTCCAAATGCTCTGAACGTATTTTGGAGAAGTGTTTTCAAATGTCAGACATTGTTCTTGGTGTATTTCTTTGCCACCAGGTTGGGTTTGTATGGACAGGTACTAGTGCATAATAGATGTCGGTCTCCTTGTTTACAGCAAGAAGACCAAAGATCTGGGTCCACAAAGTACTTTGTGGATGCACTTACATGACTGGTGTTGCCAGTTCTGTTTCCTCTGCATTTACTTATGGTCACGGTTTTCAAGTGTCTTCTTCTAGTAGAAGAGATAAGACCTACATAAACAAATTATAGAAAGCAGTGTAAGAACAGGTTCACAAATCTGCATTAAACTGTGTCCCTAAACCAGCTTTGGGCTAAGAGAGGACACCCATGGAAGTACTTGTTTCAGACCCTCTGGGCGGGGCGGGGTGGGCTCAGCTCTCCTTTGTCAGTTTCCCTTTGGAAAATCAAGATAATGCCCGCCCTGTGAATTAAACTGTTCATGCAATCTTATTCCTCAGGTCCGAAGGTTTTCTGAGGCCTTCTTTTATATGGAGCACCAAAAGCTTGCAGTTCTGACCTTTCAGGAGAATCTGTAAGTAACCAATTGCATGCCGACGTCACACTGCCAAAGTGGCCACCCAAGATATTCTCTTTCAAAGGCCCTTCTTCCCTCCGTCCCTGACTGCGAAGGAGAGAAGTCTGCCCACCTCTGCACATTCGAGCTGCATTGTCTCTGCAGGCAAAAGAGTCAGACAGATTGCAGAGGTGGGAGCTGGTAGGTGGCAGAGAAGGTCAATGGCCAAAGTTTTCTTTTGTTGAATGTTATTATGGTTCTATAGACAGAATCAAGACTTCTAGGTCCCCGAAGACATCTGTGCTGAGTCTTCTTTGTGAAATGAATTAGAAGCAGGTGCTGTGACCACAACCTATGTCAGAAAAAAAACACAGAATTCGCTGGAGACTTTGCAGTAGCTTCGAAACACATTTAGCATAAGAATGAGGACGGAACTACCTAATTAGGCGGACTGATGAATTCCTAAGTCTGCCTTCCTCCAAAATTAAAGAAAAAAATGAAAACATACGAAAAAAGTCAGAGGGTTAACAAAAAATGAGGTCATTCTCTTGTAGATCTCCCCCAGTGGGCAGGAACAGATGGGTCCCTCCAAGACGGGCTGGCGTTTGCGACCCAAGTCCAAGGGGTTCTTTTTGTTTCTGAATGATACGTTCACCTCAAGGAATAAATGTGGATGCAGTAGTGTCCGAGACGGCCCGATAAATCCAGCAGGAGAAACATTTCAGGTTCATCTGTCACACAAGACGGACCTGAGACCTTTTCGCCCTCTGCTTTATAACCTTCTCTTCCTTCTCTCCACACTTCATCCAGTTGGACAGCTAGGCAGCATTTACAGTTTGCCTTGTGGAATCTGAAGTGGGGGGTGGGAAGGCACCAAGAAAAACACATCTATGATGAAAATAGCTTATCTGGAACCAGGTAGACCTTCACTCACTCACGTCTTCATTCCGCCCAGCAACTACAGTCAGAAGAGTTAGTGAGAGCAAATGTGAGCAGAATTGTGAAGGCCGCGGAGCAAGATGCTGTAAATCAGGACTGTTGTGGGAACCTGCTTCCTGAATCCCCAAAATAGGCGAACCCTCAATCTCTGGGTGTGCTGTGTTCCCCAGGAGCGTGGGCGCGCGTGGAGGGGACAGACACAGAGGCAGCTCCTCTTCCGGAAGAGTTTCTTTGAGATGCTGACCACTCAAGTTCAGACGATACGGTACTTGGCGGACTTGGGTTCAAAATCCTACTCCTCCATTGGACCTATAGCAGGTCCTTGAGAAAGTGCTGTTCTGTTGCTGTTTTTTTTTTCCCCCCTGTCCTCCCCTAGTCTTAGTTTCCCTAAAACAGGTAGGGCAAGAACTGAAAGGACCAAATGAGAACATCCATGCCCATGGAATACACTGTCCAAGCCACAGACTCCATTCAGAAAACGTTAGGTGATGACTCACACATTATACAGTTGTTGGTTGTGCACGTAGGCACTGCGACATCGCAGGGAACAAATTAAAGATGCTCTCCTTGCGGGTCTCTCATTCTAGGGCAGAAACAGGCAAGACGTAAATTGAATTATCTCAGGTAGTGACAAGTAAAGAAAACCAAATCAAGGTGAGGACACGGAACACGATGAGAAGGGACATGGCCGGTGTCCTCATAAGTGTTGAAGGATGAGCTCTCGGAGCAACAAAAACAATATCCGGGGTCTGTAGTGTTTGCTGATTTCCACTGCATGAATTCTCCCACAACGGTGGCTCTCATGTGCCAATATGTGATCTCTGGACACGGGACTGGGAAGAGATATGCACAGTTGGCTCTTGCAAGCTGGTGGGACCTCCTCCAACACAGCACTGGGTGTGGGATAAGGACTCTTGAAGCCAAAGTGCTGAGAGGGAGTCTTCCTGAGGATGTGGCGTTTGAATAGAGACTGGGGTTCTATCCGGCCAGACCTTGATATGAAAGAAGACCAGTCAGAGGGAAAAGCTGGTGCCGAGGCTCTTACATGGGAACACAGGGTGTTTGAGGGGCAGCAGGGAGACAAGTGTAGCTATAGGACGGAGTGAGCAGGAATGAGGGGGAGGGAGGCAGGACCAGCGAGGTGGGGAGGGACCAGCCCATGTGGGACCTTAGGGACCAGGACAAAGAACTCAGACTTTGTACCATGACAGTTATGATTAAGGCCTTTCGCAAAAGCTGGCAAACAGTAGGGTGGAAAGACCTGATCTCAAACTGATATACATGGCTTGAAATCTTGGTCCTGGAACTTACAAGGTTTGTGACACCAGACCAGTTCCTGAACCTCTCTTTGGTTGCTGCTTAGAAGTAAATAGGAGAGTCCTTCATTCAGCAGCTATCCACTGAGTGCGGACTATGGGCCTGACACTCTTCTGGGCATTAGATATTTAGCAGTGACCAAAACAGACAAATCACTATTTTAATAGCAGAAGGCATATAGATAAATAAATAAATATGATACGCAAACGCAGTAAGTGCCAATGAGAGCTATATCAGTGTGGTAAGAATGGAGAGGGCTTTTCCTCTGAGCTGTCATAGAAGAGGTCTGAAGCAGGTACGGACTGAGCCCTGCAGATACCCAGGAGACCAGGGTATCTGTCTCACAGAGCAGTTGCAGAGGCACTGAGTACTATTCACGAGAAGATACTAACCTGTAAAGGAAGGCGTACACAAGGCTAGAAGCAATATTATTCAGAAAGAAGTAAACTTTTAATTAGGTCATTAAGAGTAAGAGGTACGGAACCAAAAGGGGCATTTTACGTCCAATTGAGAAAGTTACTGGAGGAAAGGTCCAGAGTACTATGAATGGAGTTTCATCTCAGAATGAGGCAGTGAGCAGGTGTGAGGCCAAGCTAGTAAGTGTGCACCGGCATGGGTGTACCCACCTGGGGGTTGGAGCTGGAGAGGGAGGGTGTGCTTAGGAGACAGAACCATCCCCCCAAATCAGGATGGACAAGTGGACAGACAAGGTAGCCCTGGTGACACTCATCTGTCAAGACCCATTAAGTTCAAGACCCATCTAGTTCAAGACCCATCAAGTTCAAGACCCATTAAGTTCAAGACCCATCTAGTTCAAGACCCATCAAGTTCAAGACGCATCTAGTTCAAGACCCATCTAGTTCAAGACCCATCTAGTTCAAGACCCATCAAGTTCAAGACCCGTCTAGTTCAAGACCCATCAAGTTCAAGAC